TTTTGTTTTGGTTCTGCATGGAGAAGTCAGACCCTTCTATAAGTTTAGGGGGTCTGATTACTCTGGAGGCTGGGATGTCCCCATAAGTTTGCGGAGACCTAGTGTTGTGGTCTGCATGGAGGGTCAGGCTAACGCTCAATAAGTTTTGGTGCCTTAAGCTGCCTTGTTTCTTGGGTTTTCTTAAGTTTCTTTGTTTCTGAACGAGGGGGCTGAGCTATTCTATAAGTTTAGGTGGCTTAGCCTCTTCCTGTTTTTATTCTGAAGAAGTAATCTTTGGCAAAGGGACAGACCCTTCTGTATGTTCAGGGGGTTTTGACCCAATGCCACGCACATGAAGATTCAGAGAGAAATGAACTTGGCGGAGGGTTAGATCCTTCTGTAAGTTAAGGGGGTCTGGCTCAAAGCCTCGCACATGCTAGAACCCAATGGTTATAGCTTGGCTAAACCTTATTATTATTTTACTTAAGAATGAGCTAATCAGACTGTTCTATAAGTTTAGGTGGTCTGACTATAGCCTATCACAACTTGAAGAGAGTACAACTAAGAATAAAATTGATGGTAAACTGGGGAAGGCTGAAGTTAAGTTGATTCAGTCTTATGCAGCCTTAGAAGACTAAGTGTAGACAATTATATATAATTGGGACACTTTAAGCAGTTCAGGGCGACTAGAGTGGTCTAGTCATGTGCCCAAAGAAGAGAAAAGTAGTTGTGCCCTCTGTTTGTGTATACTAGGCAAAGTCAGAACGCTCTATAAGTTTAGGTATTCTGACCCTAGGCCTGGCTAAGCTGGGCGCGCTCTGTAAGTTCAGGCGGCCTCACCTATGCCTTATGTAAGCAGGGTATAAAGGGTTAAGTCCTTTGAAGATCATGAACTATTGTTGTCTAGATAAACTTGGGATGGTGAGAGTACTTACCTTTGTGGTTTGTCCTGCATGTGGTTGTATGAGGTTACTTCTTGGTCTGAGTTTCAGTGTGATAGGTAGTTACTTTAGTTGCTCGCCATGTGCTAGAGCGATAGGAGTTTGTTTCAATTTTCGCATTTTCTGTGATAGTTTTTTTTACTTAGGTCAATTTATGTATTTTCTGGGATCATTTTTTATACTTGGCTTTGTATAAATCTTGGCAAGCTATTTTCTCTACGGGAAGCGCTGCCGAAATTTTTACAAATCCAAGGAGTTACTCACTTGTCAAAAGTTCAACTTATTTTTACTTATATCTGACTTAGTAAAAATTTGGAAAGTCTCCTTTTCTAAAGGGAATGCTGCCTAAATTTTTGCTAATTCAGGGAGTTCGACAAAATTGGACTTTGAGAAGTCAAAGTTACTTTCAAATTCTGAACTTAGCCTTGTATAAATTTTGGAATAACACTTTTCTAGAGGGAGTACTGCCGAAATTTCTGCAAAACTAAGGGGTTAGTTGAATCTTGTCTAAGTTGAACTTAGGTTGTCTTTTGAGTTCATATCTGACTCGGTATAAATCTGGGAAGTCTCCCTTTCTAAAGGGAGTGTTGCTCAAATTTCTACTAATTAAGGGAGTTAGACAGAACTTGACTTTCCAGAGTTAGAGATTATTTCTGCTTTCATATTTGGACTTATATAAATTCTGGAAAGACACTTTTCCTACGGGAAGCGCTGCTGAATTTTTCTTAATTTAAAGGAGATAAATTATATTTTGACAGGCGGCGATTCTGGCGATCCACCCTGTATAGGGGAGATTATGCCAGGGTCTACCTTTGCTTTGGACACTGCTTAAAGGTAGACTTAGGCTTAGTTAATTAGAATGATTTGGGTAAGATCATGATATGAAGATTGTTCTCCATGGACTTATAGGTTTAGCCTGAGGCATTGACCTGTCATGTGTTACAGGTCCTCTTGATCGTTTGATCCAAATTCAGGACTAGATTCAGCTTGATCCCTTGAGGATCATCTTCTGTTATCACTGATAACAGGTCGGTTGCCGACTCGTCGGCTTACAATTCAACTTCAATTCATCCCTGTCACTCAACCTAAAGGCTTTAGCCTTGTGATTTAACTGTTTTGTTGTGTTTTCACCCGGACTTTATTGAATGGCCATCCAACAAAATTACTGAGTATTTATTTAAGAGTTGCACAAGTGAGGCTTGTATGGCTAAAGCAAGGGGTATGAGTGCAAGGAATGGTTGAAGTTGACTCCGTGTAGTGCATTAACTTTCTGGTTGAATCTTTGATGTGATTGCAGGTCCGTTTATGGTTCGGACTCTGGATGTGATTACCTGCGATTACATACATATATGGTTGAGAGGAGCCCCAATGTGACTGTGAGAAGTGATCGTGCTATAAAATTAACCCTTATATGTTTATAAATGTCCCGAGTGTTTAAGAGACCAATGTGATTGTGCATAAGGGTTAACTAGATTGTGTCCTGAAAGAAGAGGGAGATCCCTCTTCTATCCTTTGCCTCTTAGAGATTTTTATAGTCAGAAGTCCTGGGCCGGGATTCAAGGTCCTTGTCCAGGACATCCCAAGTCCTAGATTCTACAGGGAAGGAATCTGCCCCCGTGCAGAGCCTATTTGCCTTGCCTGCCTTGCATGCCTTGCCTGCCTTGCTTTGCCTATTTAACTATTCCCTCAGCCGTGCAATGTCGTGAGGGATTAGACCCTCACGACACTTCGAGGCTGACACTTGAGTGTCATAAGTGGTACTCGTATCCACGAGCGACCGCTTGATTATGGGCACTACATAGTACGCCATCATTGCGACTGCTTGTGTACGCCTGCATTGCGAGTCGATATGAGTAGGCCCTACGTCCGCGCGGTTTTATGCTAAGCCTCGCGCGCGACGCCTATTCGATTTCCGCATTGGAAAGTTATGGGCTGGCTACAGAGGGGCTAGGAGCGTTGTCGCATTGTTTGTGTTGTGTCGTGTTGTATGTGCGTGTGTGTGTGTGTTTTATTTTTCTTTGTGTTCGTAAAGTGGTGCGCGCGTGGTGTGTGGGCTGTGTCCTAGTCGACCGACGACGAGTCACGCTTGGGACCTCAACCCCCCAAGATGTCAGTTCGCGTGCGGGTTCGATAGGCGTATTACCGCGCGTACCCCCTATGCTACAGCAAACGAGAAACGCCCTTGGCTGGTCCACCTCTGCGATTGCAACTGATTAACTTTCGTACTGTGGACTGGTAGCTCGGCGGGGATACGCCCACCGAA